GACTTTATTGAATAGCCTTTGGGCTCTCCCGCGGATTCCACCAGCGCCAGCAGATTTTGATAACATACTTGACACAGGCGGCGCGAGGCTGTCCGCCTTCCGACGGTCTAAATCAATTTCCGTCCTGAAACGTCACGAAATTATGTCCGATGACCCCACAGGACTTTCTGACCTCGTCAGGCACGACATTAGCACGGGAAATGCAGCCCCTCCGGCAGCCTCACCGCCGCATACCTCCTCCTCTCCAGGAGAAAGTGAAGAAGCTGTTAGACGAGCTCATCCGCTTAGGAGTCCTCGTGGAAGCGAACGGCCCGTGAGCGTCGCCTATTTGTGTGCTCCGCAAGAGGTCCGGGAAGGCGAGGGCGACATGTGATATGCGGCGTCTCAAAGCTGTGACAGCCCTTTCTGCGTACTCCATTCCTAAAATAGCGGCAGTCATAGGGGGTCTGAAGGGATGCATTCTTATTACCATTGTAGACATGGACATGACACATTACCAGGCCAAATAAATATCAGGCCAAATAAACCCTGAGCACCAGCACGAGGCCACGACTGCGACTTCGTGAAAAGACTAGTCATTCACTCACATGGGTTTCGGTCTGAGCGGCGCTAGTTTCACATCTGTCAAACTACTGAATATTGTCTTGATGACGTTATTCCCGATAAATGTATGTGTCAATTCGATGACGTCATAGTCTGCGGTAACAACTTCGATGAGATGATTGAGAATTTGGACGCAGTGCTTTCACGCATGTACAAAGCTGGTCTAACATCGAACCTGGCGAAATACCTATTCTGTTTTCCCAAGGTCATCCTCTTAAGCCATGTGACGTCCAGTGAGGGCATGGCACCAGATCCAGTCCAGGTGCAGATCGTGATAGCCTGGCCAGTTCTGAAGACGGCTCAGCAAATGGTCAGTTTTCTGGCTGTAAGTAACTATTTCAAAGTATTTATCGAGGGACACGCTGTCATTTGTGGCCCTTGCTCCGCCTCTACAGCCAGGACGTCCGGTTCGAGTGGTTTGGCGGGCGTCCGCTGGCTTTCGGCAGGCTAAAGGAAGCCGCCCTGGCAGAGGCTTCCGTGCTCACCCTGCCCTCATTTGACGACGGGGGGGGGAGGGGGGGCACTTTATTCTCGAGTGTGATACACCCTGCCCAGGTGTTCGTACTGTTTTGCTGCAGATGACTCCAGAGGATGAAAAGGTTATTGCCCACGGCAGAAGTTATTTGTTTATTTCATTTACTTAGAACTTGCGGGTTAATGGCGGCTCATCATCATAGCACAGCGGGCTTTTGCGCGCTGGATCGCTAGCTGATTTGGAGAAAGTGGCGTCTCTAGTCTAGACAATTCCACGAATCTACCGGTCATCCTTACGGGGAAAAAGTATTTGTTAATTATGATAAATTTCTTCACAGAGCAGGCTGAAGTCTTTCCCTTAAAGAATGCGTCAGCTGCCAGCGTAGCACAGGTCTTTGTTGACCAGTTCATAGCTCGCTTTGGCTGCCCAGTGAGAGTGCACACCTACCCGGGTGGGTGTCTTGTGAGGGAGGTGTTAGAGCTCACATGTAAGCGCTTGGATATCGCAAAGCCGACTGTTTCCAGCGCTCATCCCGTGGTAATGAAATTGTGGAAAGGAACATTACGACGGTCATTTTAACGTTTGCTTAATTTATCGGTGACGATCGCACGCCTGTTACGATGAGCACATTGCGCTGCTTATGTTGGCATATAACGCTCAAGCAAGCAAGGCTACGGGTTTTCACCGTACAAACTCATCTAAACCAAGAAACCAATCCGAGGTAGAGATTACCCCCCCCCCCCCCCCCCGAGCAAAGTCCGGTCAAAGAGTACTGTTCAATATTTTGGCCGGCTGCGTGAACCGCTGCGTCATTTTCATGCGGCTGCTCTCTGGCGGTCAGACACCCGTCACGGTGCAAACAAGCATGCATATTACTAAAAGTCAAATTTGCTAAATTTTGTCGTAGGTGAGCAAGTTCCACATCGAGCGATGGTCCCAAAGCACCAATGCTACAGGTTTCTGCACCCTTGCCGGCGGGCCGTTGTTATAGAGAAGATTGGCGTCATTAACTTCCGCGTGCGCCCCGAAGAGGCGGGTAGGGCGCTCATCGTTCGCCATGATCGTTTGGTAAGAGTGTCCGTGCTCACGCCCGCGCCCCACACACAGAACATTTAGCTGGGAGGCTAGGCGTTCTTCTGGCATCGGCCTCTTGCCTGACTCATCCCGGTCTTCATCACCGAGCGGACTCTGCGCGGGTTGCGCTTCGCGAATGCTGATAGGCGTCTTCTCCGGTCTCCAAACTTCTTACAGTCAGCCTGTCCTGGAGCTCCAACTCTTGCCAACCAGTCGCCGTAGCCTGCTGCTCCCTACCAGCGGCTTAACCTGGTCTCGTCAGCTGACGTGTCCCGCCTTCCTGCCGACCGTCGCTAACGACGGAGACGGCCGGGTGGCGCCCGTGATGGACCCGGACCCCGAGTCTGCCGCCAAGCTGTTGGTCGTGGCTGTGGGCCGTATCGACCATGCTGGCTAATACCACACAACACAGTAACCGGTGGCCCGCACGTCCCGAGGACAGGCTGGGTCGACATCCTGTATGCTGACGGCGCTGCGTGCCCCTGACCCCACATTCTGAAGACCAAAATAGTCCTATCACGAGTTGAGCCCAGTCTTTGCTCTAAAATTCGCTCTCGGTTGCGGCATACCAGAGACCGGGTGCAGGCGCACACATGCCGCCGACCCCGCTGGCACACCGAGCGGCGTGCCAGTCTGGGTGAGCTCCGTCAGCTCGGCTGGAGTTAGTCCGCCTTAGGGCAGTCTAACAAGCTGACAACACGCCACGGCTGAGTGCCATCAGGGCGCGTCCTGACGTGCTCGCATGACGCCACGGCTGACTGCCCCCGAGGTGCGTCCTGGCGTGCTGACATGACGCCACGGCTGACTGCCCCCGAGGTGCGTCCTGGCGTGCTGACATGACGCCACGGCTGACTGCCGTCAGGGCACGTCCTGACGTGCTGACATGACGCCACGGCTGGCTGCCGTCAGGGCACGTCCTGACGTGCTGACATGACGCCACAGCTGACTGCCCCCGAGGTGCGTCCTGACGTGCTGACATGACGCCACGGCTGACTGCTCCCGGGGTGTGTCCCATTCGTACGCCCTCCCAACGGCCGCGTGCTCCTCGGGGGCTCCCGTCAGGGTGTCTCGGTCTTGGTGAATGACGGACAAGGGCACCTTTTTGGACGGCAACGGCGGAATGGAAGTGGAGAAAAAATGTCCCGGACGGCTTAGAAAGAGGCCTGTGAAACTATTAGTACAATGCCAAGATCAGTAGTGTAATGCCATGATCAAAGTGCGACGATCGGTGATTGAAGGAACCTTCTGAGCATGGATGACACATATATGCCCCTTTTTCGCATGACACTTAGGGGAGTAAAAACAACACGTTTTTTATTGTTAGACCTCAAAAGGAAAACTTATCTGATTGCCTAGGTGCTCATACTGCCTTCCATCGATGCCAACAAGAATTCCTACGAAGGCCAAATTCAATGGCATTACAATGGAGAAACGAGTTCAATATAGGGCAAGTTACGCATGATATTGGTACAAACAACGCAGATGAAAAATATGATAAATGGTAAGTAAGACATAACGAATGCAGTCAATCCACCAGCTGCCTCCAGCAACGGCGGAACGGGAAAAGCAAACAGAAGCGCCGCAAAGAAAAACGATACGAGATTTATCTGACCTCATTCCCCTCCCCAAGATCTCTCGTATACCCCTTATATAGTTGTCAGACGTCCTGATACCAGCCAGCCACAACATCTAATATTACCTGCAGCCCAATGCAAAATGCATTAAGCTGTTCTTGGAAGAATAAGAAGTTATCACACAAAATCTATGAGCATGCAAGATAGGAGCAAAACGAGGTTAAGGAGTAGAGCGGACCAGTGATCCCAACTACGATGTACAATGTATGTATGAACCTACGGAGCACATGCTGTCCGTTACAGCCTTGTTTATTCCATTTCACAGCACAAGAAAAGGATGGCACGTAAGCTGCATGATGGATTAACGCATGGCTTAAAGGTAATGCTCCACATTTGAAGATATTGAATCAAACATCAAATATCATGACAGAAACTCACTTATAACTATTGGTATGCTTTTAAATGGAAAAGACTGATCAAGACAACACAATTTTTATTCAAGAAATGTGCTCCTCAGTACTTCATTGACTAATTACGTCATCGTACCTCACACAACATTGATTGAGAGCCAATTGACGGACGTTATATTTGGAAGTCGGGCTCACGAACGCCGGATATGGACCGCTCGTTAATAATATTTGTATTGACCTTCGTCACCGTATGGCCAATGTATTAGCAGGATTCGAACGGCATTATTATGCCGTCATGGATGATCTTGAAATAGTCTGCACAAAAAAGCCTCCGCACCTTTGAGAGCGTGTGGCTAAGGAACAAGAGGTGTTTAGGCCTTAAAAGGGCAGAGCTGCGGACAGTACCGAATAATCTCCAAGATGGCTATTCCAATTAAAAACCTTATACAAATGTAGAGCACTCCTCCTCTCCCAACCCCCGCACACTTAATCACCTGGGGTTTGATGTCATGCCAATGCCCACAAAAATCCACCGTCTTTGTTCGAGTTTTTTTTATCAAAGCTCGTGAGCTTTCCCGAGCACGGTGTTCACGGGGAGTCCCCCGTGATCTACTCCATGAAATGCGAAACATGAAGATAGACATGGAATAAATGCGCGTCGAGAAATGTGGGGTCGTCTGGCCTTGGCCGCTCTCCGACCAGCAAACAAAGGGGCGGGGCGGGCGGCACGTGACGCCCCCACCGTCCGGGGCTCGGCCCAGCCCCCGGCCGGGACCTGGCCCTGTCTCTGACTTCACCAGCGCGGCGGTAGGCACCGTGGCCAGCGCCACCGCAGTAGCCACATCGCCACGCGCGTGCACTTGCCTGGATGTCCTGCTCGGGCGGCTCCGTGCTCAGCGACCTGGCGTCCGCCATGACGGCGACGGTGGCGGCAGCGCGCGGCGGCGCCGCCGACCGGCGCGCGCCGACGCCGACGCCGTGCCGCGCACGCGCGCGCCCCGGACGTTTATAGCGCATGATTCAGGGACGACGGCGGCGACGGCTGAAACCGGAGCTGGCACGCACGGCGCGACGGCCGGCGCGCGGCATCGCGTCCGACGCGACGCGCTCCTGCCCCGGCCGCGCAGAGCCGGCTGGGGCATGGCGCGATTTGCAGCGGCCTGTCCAGACGAACGTCGGCGTCGTCACCAGCTGGTGCGGCCATGGGTGCGTCCAAACGGCGAGAGCGAAGCGTTCCATGCAGTGTGATATGACACAGATGGGTTGCGATTATGCCCGGCCACTTTATTATATCGTCGCGGTTTCAGGGGATCAAGGGAGCTTGCGATGTTCATATAACACATTGTATGTTAGTCATTTGTCATGCAGTGTAAACTCAACATGTGTTTGGAAATGACATGGAATTTATTTGGAGACATGTACAACAGCAAAGAAGACGCGTCAGTTTCAACAACTTCGCCGAATGTGGGATAAATAGTGTCCCAATCACAGACGAACCGGAGCTGTACGGCTACATATTACTGGTTAATGGTCTTCGACTTAAGATACTTCGATATATTCTTTCGTGGCTATTTTGCCCCTGTACTTCCACCTCACGAACATCTAAATAGCATGTATTTAGACTACTAGGAAATATTTTGAAGCACCTCAGTTGTGTAATTCACAGAAAATCCTGTAAGTTCCACGCACTCGCATACCTTAACAGCGCACAGAACCACGGGCAACCCCACCGCAATACCTCTAGGCAACGGAAGGCGGCGTAATGATTAAACTGCGCGATGGATTGATCTAGGAAGACGAGTGATTCACATCTTCAGTGGATAAGAAAAAGCAAATCGGATGCACCATTAAACGGAGGCAGCCCCAGAGAAAATTACGGGTCTGGGCTCAAAACTAGGCAAGCTGCAGTTTTACTGTTCTGGCCACTGGATCGAAAAGGTGGATCCAAGGATCCGAATCATGCGATTTATTATCAACATAGAGGGGTCCTTTGAGGTGCTGGAACCATTCCTGGAATCCTGGGCTTTTAAATGGATCTCAAGATTCGGATTCTGAGATCTGAGATCCGATGGGGCTCATGATCCACGCTTGGGATCCAGGCAAATGTCGCAGACATGCGCCTGAATAAAAAGGCCATGAACCAGAATCCTGAGGATCGTTGGCGCATGATCCCATATGATCCAGGATCCCCTCCAAGAGTTCGACCAAGCACTTCAAGATGTCAATATGTAAAAAAACGCTAGAGCTTAGTTATGTCATGAGGCATTGGCGCAGACAAGGGGGCACAGGGGTCACGTGCACACCGCCCTTACGTCCCGAGGAGTCCTTCGGACACCTTGGAACCAACGATTAAGGGCCATATTTGAGAGCCCAATTTGAGACCCGGTTTGAGGACCCAAAAGGCCCGAAATGCCGGCCAGAGGTCGCATTCAGCGGCCCGGCCCGTAGGGCCGTGCACTCCAGTGCCAGCCAGAGGGCTCTGTGCGCTGATCAGGGGCCCCCTCAGTCGATAAGGGCCTATATGTTGGTGAGACACCACCAGTAACGCACAGTCGACTCCATGGCGGCATGAGCCTGTGGGCCCATTTCCCAGGCAGGAACAAAGGGCTAGTGGGATTCTGATTATACTGCAAACAAGTCTTACGGTACGAAGTATTATCATATAAACAAAACGAGGGGCTGGTCGGAGTCTTATTTGGACGTCCCGGCCTGTGGGGACGGGCCCCCAAATTGCAGCCAAAAGCCCGTTAGCTCCGATCAGGGGCCCCTTGAGTCGATATGGGCCTACATATCGGCCACGCACACCCAGTGCCGCACAGTCGGCTCCGTGTCGGTATGGGCCTGAAGGCCCACTTCCCAATCAGCTATAAAGAATGGGTCAGTGAATTACACTGGTCGGGACCCCTGTATCTGCAAGGGGCCCAAAGCGCCTTACAAAGGGTCCTGTGCTCGCAAGAGGCCCCGAGCCAACCAAGGTGTGTAACTGATGAGGCCCAAAGAGGGTCCGGGCGCCCTAGCGGAACCAAAGATCAGAGTCCCGGTTGGAGCGCATAAGGGCCGAAGGACTAGATGTAGATCACATGCGAAATCGCGGTCTAAAGGGTCGTGACCTGAAACATTAGTCAAAGGTCTTCTTGCTCCGTTTGAGGAACCCCTAAGATCATGCAGGTGCCTAAGTCAGCCAAAGACCACAAACACCGAACAGTTGGCTCCATGTCCGTCTGAGCCCTTGAGATCCATTTCCCAAGCGGGAACAAGGCCGGGATCCGCGATTTGCATTGTTCGGGGTCCCTGACACGATAGGGCTCCTGTTTCGGTTATAGGCCACAGTGTCTAACAGAGGTCCTGTGGTGATAAGTGGCCTCGAGTCGGAACGCCGTTTGAGGGAGCCCGAAGAAGGACCGAATGGTCTCTCAAGGCCAAAGATCGAGGGTCCGATTGGAAGGCTGAAAGGTCGGATGGGTTGGCTGTAGATCCTGTATGTATGGCTGTATGGCTGTAGATGTAGATGAAGGACCCCCGCCCAAAGGGCCGTGATCCCAAATCTCACTTAGAGGACCTTTTGCACCAACTGGGACCCCTGAGGCAGAGCGTTCCTTCATTTCGGCCAGAGATCGCCAACAAAGAACAGTCGGCTCCCTGTCGGCCTGATCTGTTGGGGGCCTATTTCCCAAACAGGGACAAAGCCAGGCCCGCGATTTGCAATCGTCGGGGTCCCTGAAACAATGCGGGGCTCCTGTATCGGTCAAGGGCCCAGTGCCTAGCACGGTGTTCTGTGTCAGCAAGGGCCTCCAGTCAGTTAGGGGAATATTTGCTCAACAGGGACGGGGACAGGACTCCAAATGACAGCGGACCTCTTGCGTTGGTCCAGGCCCTCTGACAATGAAAGACAACATGAGGGCTTATGATAAGTGCTCACATTGAGGCAATGGAGGGCTCCTGTGCTAGTCAGGGCCCCCAGTGCCGAGCAATAGCTGTGGCAAAATACCCTCCAGCTCAATTTCAGCATGGGCCCGTGAAGCCCAACTGGAGGCTATGTGCCAATTGTTTGACCACCTGCGGCGATTAAGGATATTGTTGCGTGAAGGGGGGTTCCTGCGTCGATTCAGGTTCAACTGCGCAGATTACAGGGCCTCCTGCGTCAGAAAGCGGACTAACGCGATATTATGTATTCCTCTAATTGTCTCCGGATCGGCCGGGGGATCCCGCCACGTGCCACCAGAATGGCGGCCGGAAGGCATACCGCGATGGGACAGAATGGCCCTTCAGCCCTTATAGCCTCCCGAGAGACGGCCAGCGGGCTGTCGGATGTATGCTGAACCAAACGCCGTTAGGTGCTCGTGTTTTGACCCTTTCTAGCGGTTTTTTGCATATTTACCCGTGCGTTTAAGGTGCTTGCTTGCATTCACGTACTCGGTTATGGCGCAATTCTCAAGTTATTCGATTACGTCTTATTTCCGTATTTACTAGAAAGAATGTTTACCTTCTTGTATAATGCTGCACAAGACGCCATTCGTGTAAGAGGCTTGCAAAGCTTGCACAGCACTGCTTGACAGTCAACGGGCGGCCGTTATATCTGGTAGTCGTGCTCACAAATGTCACATATCGACAATTTCGACAATTTTTATGTGACTGAACGCCGCATGACCAGCGGATTGTCAGCATTGGAATGACGTTATTATGTCCGTCATGGATGCCTGGATAATCTTGAACTAGTGTCGCGAAATAGTCTGCACATCTGCAAGAGTGTGTTGTTCAAAAGCTAGATGGATTTAGGCCTTAAGACGGGTAGGGCTGTGGACTGCACCGAGCGATTTTCAAACGACTAGTTCAGTTCACAACCCCATAAAAATATGAAACACTCCCTTAAAGTATCACCAGGGGTGAAGTCTTATGCCGTTGGGTCACCTCAGCCCTCCCAACTCTGAGACAAAAAAGCGGAAATAGGTTTAGCCATTTTTCCTGCTCAGCCTCTCAAACGATGTTGAACGATTACGCTCCTACGTAACACCCCGCTGAACAACAAAAATCAAGGTTGTCAGGAGTCTCAGGTGAGACTCTGGTTCTTGTTGCTTACATTGACATCACTCTAGACTGGAGATTGGTTCTTGCTGGATCTTGATTTAATGCTGAGCTGTGTCTTGGTTGTTGCTGGATTTCTATATGTTCCAGGTTGGATTTGGGTATAGCTGAAACTCTGACATAACGTTATGCTGGATCTTTTGACATAATGTCAGGCTGGATATTGGCTCCTCCAGTCCAGTCTGGCACTTCCAATCTGATATTAGACTGGATCTTGGTTCTTGCGGGGTCTTCCGGCTTATTGTCAGGCTGGATCTTAGGTCTTCCTGGATCTTTCGACTTCAGATGAGGCTGGATCCTGCTTTCCGCTGGATCCCTCTGCCTACTACCAGACTGGTTCCTGGGTTCCTCCTGGTTCCGGAACCAGAAGCTAAGGATCAGTTCCCGGGAAGAAATTTAGGGAACCAGACATATGTCTGCTAGCATGATAAGAAAAAGAAGCGAAAAATTGGCATATCGAGAGATGCGATAAAGGGATTGCGTATAACTGGGGGAGGGGGAATGCGTAAATAAGAGATGCTTGCGCGGAAGTATGAATAGGTATACACAAAATCCGATACGAAATTGTGTATGAGAAACAACATGCTAAGAAAAATGCACTTACGATGAATTTAGATAGCGATGAAAGCAATGCGAACAATCGCGCATACGGAGAATGGGTGTCCAGAGGGAATGGGTGCAAACAAATGCAGGCATGAAGAAATATGGATTCTGGATCGCGGGTACAAGACAGCAGGCAATCAAATACGCAAACAAAGAAATGCAATAAGAATGATTGCATGGACGAAGATATATCAATGCGAAGGCTTGCACCGATGAAGATCTGCGCACGATTC